GGGGGGGGCCGTCTCCGTCAATCTTGTCTCACCCTCAACGTCGCCCCCCCCCCCCCCCCCCCGTCCTTCAGTCGTTTCACTGAGTGCAGCTTCACACACTGTTGCTCTTTAGTCTTTGTTTTTCTGAAGCTGTTTGCAAACTTCATGTTGTAGCTGTTCATATATCAGAACGTTTAATCCATTCAGGAAATGAGCTTTTGTTTTTTTATTATTTTCAAAATATTTAACTTTAATTATAAAAAAATACACGAAGAACTCTTCAGATAATCTAGAAACTACTTTTTAAAATCTTCACCATACTCCACTCGTTTCTGTATTTTGTCTTTTTGCTAATATTTCGCTAAATGTAGCTTTTTTTCTAGCCCTTTACTACTTTCAGCTTTTATCTAAGGTAGTTTTGTCTACTTTTAGCCTTAAGTTAGCAGTTTGCTACTTTTAGCTGCCGTTCTTCTGCTTTTCCCTAGCATTTTTGCTACTTTAAGATAAATTTTAACATTTAGCTTTCAGTTTGCCTTTTATTAGTTTTAACTTTTAGATAGTTTTTGCTTCTTTAAATTTTTAGCCAGTGTTTTACTACTTTTAGTCTTTTTGTTAATGCTTTGCTAGCTTTAACTAGCAATTTGCTACTTTTATCTAGCATTTAGCTACTTTTTTGGACACATTGTTTCTAAACGGTGGATTTAGTGCAGTTATTTTACTAACACAAGCTGATTCTGTCCTCTTCCTTCCTGCCAGCTGACTTCGGGTTCTGCGCCCAGATCACTCCGGAGCAGAGCAAGCGCAGCACCATGGTCGGGACTCCATACTGGATGGCTCCGGAGGTGGTGACCCGAAAAGCCTACGGTCCCAAAGTGGACATCTGGTCCCTGGGCATCATGGCCATCGAGATGGTGGAGGGAGAACCGCCGTACCTGAACGAGAACCCACTCAGGGTGAGTGTTGAACAGACGGGAGACCAGGAGGAGAAACAAAATGTCAAGAAATAAAAATGTGTTCAGCAGAAAAACACTGACGGACATTTGAGATCTTTTTCTTCTACATTAGAGTTCAGAAAAACCTGCTTTGTTTAGAGTCTGTTGTTTTTTACTCCAACTATCTTAAATGGGACCACTATGAAGGAATCCAGTTATCTACTGGGAAAAATCGACCACTAGATGGAGGCAGAGTCTGTGTTTACCTCCTCCTTGTGTGTGTCTTGTAGGCGCTGTATCTAATAGCAACCAACGGCACGCCAGAACTGCAGAACCCAGAGAAACTCTCGACAACATTTAGAGATTTCCTGAACCGATGTCTGGAGATGGACGTGGAGAAGAGGGGGTCCGCTAAAGAGCTGCTGCAGGTACGACACAGCGTGGTTTCAACTTCATCCATACAGGAGAAAATGAAATAAAACCTGCAACCAAGGAACAAATATGAAGCCAAATATCATCTAGCTGACAAAAATACTAATATCTGGAGTTTGCGCATGGTTTACATATCTGTTAAAAAAGACTGTGTGTAAAAGAAGCTGCAGTTTTTTATTTTTATGCGTTTTATAAAAACCGGAGGTGGAATTCAGTGAAATCAGGCACCGAACTGAAATGTTTCTCTCTCCTCGCCCCTCCCTTGATGTCTCCTCTCCATTCTTGCTTCTTTCCCCATCATCACTTTTTCCTCCCTCCTCCTGTCTTCGTCCCTCCTCTTCCTCTCGCAGCATCAGTTTTTGAAGATGGCGAAGCCTCTTTCCAGCCTGACTCCTCTCATTCTGGCAGCCAAAGAGGCAGCCAAGAACAACCGTTAGCTTTGCACTCGTCGTCTGCCTGTGCGTCCTGGGTGTTCATGTCCCGGCGAGGTCGAGGTGGTTCCCCAAACCCCCCCCCGCTCCTTCCTCTTTCAGTGTTTTCTTAACTTGCTGCATTTGCTCCCATCACTTTGAACTTTGACCCTGGGCTCTGAAGCCACACCCCTCCACCTCACAGGTAACGCGAAGGGGCGGTGCTTCTTCCACCTGTTTTCCCAGCGCTCCACCAAGCTCGGACAGGAAGGACAGACGAAGGCGTCGCCGCCCTCGGAGCAAAGACGAGCGTGTCTTCGTGTTGAGGGCGTCTCGACGGGGTCCAGAGACACGCTGCAGTTCGTTTTTAAATCAGGACCGCAGCAGCTGCCCGTCACCTCTGACTGTCGGCGTTCCTTCGCTTCCTGTTGTTCAGGTGCAAGTTAAAAAAAAAAGACTGATTTTATTTTTAATACCTTTTGATTTGAAATCTTTCTTCTTGTGAGTTTGGATTTTACTTGTTGATTGTAGCGATCCCCTCTGTGGGTTTTGTCACGAAGAGGGAAAAGTTTGGCTGTAGGTTTGACAACTTTAATAATGATTGTTTAGAGGAAACACTGTGTGCCCGGAGCCACGGACGGACCCAGTTAGATCACGGTTCTGTTGTCATTCAGAGTACAAGTTCCTGCTGCTGTTTTCAGAGTAAAATGTACAAATATAAATCAGATTTGATTCCTTCTTACTGCTGCCAGAAGCTGGATACCGTTTCACTGCAAAGCATGAAATCAAACTTAAAATGGTGCAGTTTGAGTTGACTCCGGTAGATTTCCAAATATTCAACACAGAGTTACCAATTCCAAGAGTATTCCAAAACATCAGAACTCTCCTGATTGTCCATCCCAAACAGCTCTTAGGTTTCCAGGCTCCGTCACTGCTGCCTTGGACAAACAAGGAACCTCCCTCTGTTCTTCTCCACAGTGTAACTCCTCCCTACTTGAATATCTCGCACTAAAACATGAAGGTTTACTCACATTCCCTGTTCAGTTCCTGCCCAGAAAAACACTCGTATCAAAAATTACAAACGTTCATTATTCAAATCCTTCAGCGACGGTGAACAGCACACCGCTTGTTTTTCCCTTCATTTTAAAAGCAGCCATTAGTTGGAGACGAGAAATGAAACCCTCTCGAGTGAATACAACACGATTCACGCTGCCAGTTAGAAAAAGAATATAAACGGCGGCGTAAGAGTTTGACCACCAAGATATTTCTGCTTAAAGCTTCTCATAAAGTCATGAAGGCTAGACAAAAATTCATAAAGTAATAAACTCCATCCTTCGTCTTTACCCGCTTCTTCTTTTCCGGGTCGCGGGGATCACCGGTGCCCACACCCAGCAGTCCCTGTGAAAAATCAAGGTACTGCTCTGAGACTTGGAAAACAATCTTTTTTTAAGTCCTGATGCTCAATAATCCAGGTAGAAAAATCTAACGAGCTTAACTCAGGTCCTCTGGACCAGAAGAATCCATCCAGAGGACCGGACTTAATCTTCTTAGAATTTTTCTTTAAGATTTATAATCTGGAAGACATTTTCTTTTTGGACTCTTTCAGTCTAGGGTCAGTCTAACTCTGGAAACCCTCCAACATCAAAAAGGTTCAGCCCATCTTAATCCATAAAGTTTGGATGTGTTTGTCCAAGAGGTTTAATTTAAGTTGTTTTATTTTCAATTAAGAATTTTGAGGGTCTGATGGAGATTGTCCAAGGGCCACTTTTGGCCCCCGGGCCATATGTTTCTTTGGATCTTTTGTGGGACGGACCTCTGCAGGAGCCCCTTCCTGCCTGCAGCCACCAGCATCTGAAACAACTCTTTAATGAAATCAGGATGATGAGCTACAACATTTAATTTCCCTTTGGGATTATTTTTGAACTGGAATTTTGAATGTTGCTCATGTCTGCGTGGAGGACACGCTGGACATGTCTCCAGTCCATCACAGGGACATATAGAGACAAACGAGACAACCATTTCACATTAGGGACACTTTAGAGTTACCAACCAGCCTACTGTGTTTAATAAACTCCATCCACACAATGATTTTTTCTTCTGATAGTTTACGTCTTTAAAAAACAACTTGTGATAAAAACTTTAGGCCTGATGCCAACAGCATGTTACTCTATACTCAGTACTGTCAACATAAAACTTACAGACAGTATTTGTTTTTACCTCCACCTGCCAGCCTAATGCAGGTCAGTCATTTGGTTTTAAGCAGAGTTCTTTGTTTACGTTCAGTGCAGACCCACGTTTCAGAATTTTATACCAACACGTCTCGAAAACTACAGGAGTGAAGTCAAACTGCACCGTTTGATAAAGTTCAGGATGACGTGTTGACTTCATTACGCGTAAAACATTTTGACTGACATTTACCGTCAGCTGGGCTGAATTATCAGGAGAGGTTAATGTCTCGTGTATTTTCAGGTCATTAGCTTTTACCAGTTTGTGTCCCTGCAGCGACTTGTTGCTGTTTTTAACCATTAAAGCAACAAACAGAGACAGATCGCTCTTAAACAAACTGGGACTGTTACTGGTTTCTTCTAAAAGCACAAAGCATGTTGCACGGAAACGCTCGTCGTTTCATGGCCGATGGACCTGCTGCTGCTCCGAGTCCTCGTCATCACGTTGATTGACTTGTGTGAAAATATACAACTCTGAAAGGTCAAAGTACATATTTTTACTCTGATTCAGCTGCTCAGAGTTGTATCTTTTGGTTTAATCGTCAGTTTTATTCTGATTTGTCTCTTCTTAGTTCAATGTCTCTTTAACAGGAATTAGAGCCGAACTCGCTCCGTCTGTGGTTCTGGGTCGTCTGCGGGCTCAATGTTGGACTGTGAAGGACAGAATGTGCATGAGAACCACCTTTTTTTTCTAATGGTACGTCTATGATAGAGAAAAAATAAAATGAGTGTAGTGAAGATTCATGAAGGGCGCTTGTGTACCATAGATCATATTTGGATCCTATTTTCAGAATAAAAGCTCTGATGGTACTACGATGTGTTCTGCTGGGTGGGGGGGGGGGGGGCGGTCCTCCACAGCTCTTGTTTTTGTTTACAAATGACTAATGCTAGAAAATAAAGTCCCATGTTAAGAATTGTTTGTTTTACAGAAAATCTTACCTTGCCAGCAGGAACAAAACATATTGTACTTGATTTAAGATGCTCCGCTGCAGATGTTCGCTCAGATGTGGAGACTGATTAAAAAGACAATGGGCCTGTGATGTACACACTCAATAAAAAAAACGTTGGGACGTTAATAAAAACAGAAAGCATTGATTTACACATCTCAAAAACACATATTTGATTCACATTATGGAACATAGTAAACATATCAGCTGTTTAAACGGAGAAATCAAATAATCTATGGCAGTTCTGAATGTTTTGTAGCAACAAATCTACAACAAGTTGTTCCTTGTCCACGTTTCTCACCGTGAAGAATCTTTTCTTCTTTTAACAACAGGATGTAAACTTTCAGCACCCAGGAGACCATCTGTTAGAGGTTTTAGAGGACCAGAAACCAGCTGTTAAAGGTTTTAGAGGACCAGAAA